TTACAAAACAATAGGCGCAATGCCTTTGATGTCATGAGAGGCAGATCTAACTCCCTCTCCTCCTGTAACGTGGATAATAGACAATAACAATTAGATATCGGCAACTAGAAAGCACAACAACAACATAAAAATATAAGAAACCAAATAACTAAAAACCAACAACCTCCCCCAAGCCGATTGGTCCTCGTGGGGGAAAATGACCACGACCCTCTAAAGATAAGAAATAACAGGAAGACAAATGACGATCTATATATTATAGCAACTATAAATTGCCGATCACTAGGAACCATGGAAAAATGATGGGAAGACGACTTCAACAAAATAGCTGGTCCGGTATGGACTCGTTTAGCAAAAGACAGGAATACGTGGATATCTTTAGAGGAGGCCTTTGTCGACAGACAAGCTGTTCCAGACAAACATCCAGTTGCCGAACATACAATGATTAAACCAATTTAATTTAGTTAGTACTTCGAAAGTAATTTAAATTTAATTTAGTAGAAAAGTATTTAGAAAGTAATTATGTTAGGCATGTATAATTAATAATTAATGAGTATTATTGTAAGATAGAAACAGCAATAAAGGCTATTTTATTTATTTATTTTATTTTATTATGAAATATTTTTAATCGAATTATTATAATAAATAAACAAAAAATTCTATTGACACAGGTATAAAATTAATATCAAACCTAAACCTACTAAACATATAGAAGTTGTACCTGTATTATGGAATACCGTATCGAGTGCGACTCACGTACTCCCGATATGTCCAACATTCCATACAAATACGTGACTTTGGTGCAGTTTTTAAAAATATTCCTTCGTAGTTCAGCATGGTTATATAATAAGTGACAAAGAAAATAAATAGGAGGGAGAAAACAGGATGTATAAGGACTGACGAAATTGAGATATTAAAAAGGGGAAGATAAAGTGGAAAAGTGACATTCGGAAAATGGGTCAATAGACTGCAAGTGTTCTGGAAAAATAATTAAAAATTAATAAAAATAAAATTAAAACCAATTTAAAAAGTTTGGTCTCTACCAGGCGCCAATTTAAATCTTAAGTTAAGATAGTTTAGTTATTATTTTAATTTTAGGACTAAAAAATAGTTTTGTAAATAAATAAACTATTATTGTATATCTTGTTTCTTGATATTTTTTCTTATACAATAAGTAGTAATCGGAGTTTCATAACTTTTCTGTAATCTCTTTATGGATAAGACACCATAAATGGCATATGTAGTTGTAACACAGTATTTTATGATTAAATAATATTTTAGTGTAATTTTAATTACTTAGAATATGATACTATTTCTTCTTTGTATGCGTACACGTTACGTTACGACAACCTAAATAGTTTATTTTCTAATTATATTAATAATATTTCTGGTTAAATTATTATTATTGTTAAGGTATTATTGGGAAGATGGAATAAAAAGGATAGCGTAGCGAGGTGATATTGGAAAATTGTCGCGAGAAATAGAGGCAAGTGGATGAATTTGTGAGGTCGAGTACTTGTGTAAAACATAATGTCATGGACTTAGTGTAGTTAAGTGTAGTAGGTACTCGAATAAAGGCTATATATATATATTTGTTTTAATTCTATTTATAATTGGTATCTGGATACCATAGCTCAGGGTCGATTCATGATCCTACTACACTGTTGCTCTGATGTATAATTACATCTAGGATTTACGCGTTATACTTGCTGCGTTGTACAGCTCTTTGAATCGAATTCAAACTAATCAGTTTTGGAGCCTATTCACTCCAAACAAACAATCTTAACTCTTCCTAATAAAAAAAAGTGCGTGCGTACAAAGTGTCAGAAGTGAAACTTCTTTGTCTAACTAATTTTTAAGTCTTGTTCATAATTAATACAAATCTAAAACTTTAGATTTACGAGACTTAGAGGAAGAGAAAGGTGAAGATATTTTAGGAATTTAATGAATTTAATTGTCATTAAAATATTAAAAGTGTCGAAAATTAATACAAATTAAAAATAATAATTAAATAATTAAAAATTATTCGATAATAAACACACGTGGCATTTTAATTTACAATTCGTCATTTGAGATTTCAATAAACTATTTTGCATAAAATACTAATATTTCATAAATTCTCTTAACGAAATTTTAATTTTAAAAATAGAATTTCTATAAGATAATTCGCCCTTTTCACTCTCTCTCAATCGGTCTCAATCGCTCTCTCCCTTTTCTTCGACAAAACCGCTGCACATTGTGACGCTAATATTATTATTTATTATTATAGTGTTTCGTAAAAATTTTACATAAAGAAGTTTCACTTCAAAATATTTTTTAACACGTAATATAAAAGGATGTATAGTTAAAAGAGAAAGTGCACCCCCACACTAGGATTCCCTGTGTCGAGGGCAGCTAGTCTCACATATACAGTACATACATACACAGTACTTGACATATTACAGTACTCGACATAATAAATTCTACATACCTAACACTTAATTGTATAGTTAAAACATTGTTGCACAAGAAGAACACTTTGGTTTCAGCATAGGACAGGACAAGATGTTGCTTAAGATTGTAAGTGAATGTAGTGTTTTGAATCAATAGTGAACATTTGTTTTAAAGGAAGTGGTTAGAAAAGTTAATATGAAAGGGCCTCTAAAAGAGAATATCTATTAGTGTAGATAAGAATGACGTATGAAATAGCATTGCCTGAAGAAACGGGCTAGTAAAAATGAACCGAATTCAAAATCTCTCTGACAGTTGTGCTCGAGTCGATAAAAATTCCTGAGATGTAGCAAATTACGGTTCCAGCAACGCCTTTACTGACTGTGACAAATCAATTTCTAGTATGTACTAGTTTTATTTACATTTTGATCTAAAGATTGTATACGTAAGTGACTAAGCAGGATCTTACTCGGTTTACGTATGTAGCTTACCCTGAAATGTGATGACAAAGTTGTTCGACAGCTAAAACTATATGAAGCTTCTCGACCTTATCCATTGGAGCCTTCGGGGCGACCATTAATTGGTTAGACTATCGAGGATGCTTCCTTTAGGTCGGAGGAAGACTCTCCTTCCCTCCACAAATACTACAATACGCAAGAAAAGAAAACCGAGTTTGGAGCTCGGGCGACATAAAAACATACGTCCGTGATTCTGTTTTCTTAAGCTATTGCATAGATTTTATCGCGGGCTTTGAACCAAGTAAACCTAACACACGATGACGTAATATAGGTACGGCCAATTCGCGTTAGAGCGGGACAGAACGCATACTGCGTCTCACATCGGTCTGGCATGATCGGTAACGTAGCGCAGGTACGTTAGAGTGGGACAGAAGACATACTGCGTATTCACATCTCTCTGACGAGATCGGTGACGTGGCGTAAGCGCAGCCGGTGCAGCCTTTAGTAGTTGTTCACGTTGACTCGCGGGCGCGGTGGCGGGCGCGGTCACGAAATATCAAACATATGGCGTAATATCCAAGTGTTCACATACGAAACGCACGTGCGGTCTAAGTACTTCTCCGCGCCCGCACCCACCGCCGCGCCCGCGCTTTCCAACGTGAACAAGCAAGTGCTTGTTCACGTTGGAAGCGTAAGTACGCGTTAGAGTGAGACAGACTATATAGGCGTGTTAGTCTGAGCCTGGTAGAGTGGTAGATTGAATTAATATCAAAGAAAAGACTTGAATTGGTATCAAATAAAAAAAATACTGCATAAATAAAAATTAAATAAATAAATATAATTGCATAACGTAAGTTGATAAAAAATTATATGCAATAGCTTTACCGCGGCAGTCCTCGAGAACCACACGTTTTTTTTTCTTCATATCAGTGTATATGTCTACTTCAATATATTAGCACAGTGTGTAAGCCTCTCAATACTCAGGTAGAGTTGCAGTAAGGGAATCACGACTGCCACCGTAATTGGGTGCCTAACCGCATTACCGGCCTCAGCCGGCAAAATTTTCATATTAAATTTTTAAATCACCTGAATCTATTAAAGTAATGATCTCACAAGTTTAGGAATCAGCTCATGAAAATCACGTTCTTGAATACCTGTGTGAAGTCGAATAGCTGTCATGATTTAAAAGTAAGCATAGAATTTTGTATGGGTAACTTGTAATTGAATTTCTTTGAAAGTACACAGTCCATTGAAAATAAATGCGCTCCAGTTGACAAACCAGGTAATATACCCAAGGTTTCCATTTGAATAGTATTGTTTAGAAGTTCAGGGTGATATAGATAGCAGAATCAACCTACCAAATCAACTTGAATAAATATTACACAGGATATAATCGACGTACGTTTGACCCTAAAATATCCCTCAATAAAGAGCGGACAAATTCATAATATGCTAGCAAACTCATCTATGTCTGGTCTTTTGTCTATGGGCGACATTATCTATTTCTTTATAGCGGCGCCAACCACAGAAATAAGCGAAAATAGAAAAAAACAAGTTATACAAATTATAAACATTGTGTGGCCTCGCTAATTGGTGCGGACGGTACAACATAAGGTTTATAAATTCATAATGCTTACAATTAATAAGTCTACGAACACAAATGTTACTGAAGTATAGGAATATTACAAAAAAGATATTACAAAAATTAGTATACTATGTACTCGTCGTTAGGAATTAAGAATTAATTATTAATTATTATTATTATATGACTGCACTAATAAGATAGAGGATTTCGAATGACGAAAGAATTACTACGTAAATATGTGCATGTAATTTATTATTTTTTTCTCTTACCATTGAGTAATTACCAATTGAAAACAGTTAAAGAAAACTGAATTGTATGATTTACACACCTTCAACCGTTAACATTAACATTCCACCTAAGTCTTAAAACAAAATAATCCAACTATAGGCTCAATATTTTATTTCGTTACTATACTAATGGTAGTACCATTAAACGACAACTTTAATACCAAATATTAGTTACTATATATTCGGGTTACAGATTCTTCTACTTACTAAATTAAACATTTTTATAGTTTAAAGAACTTTTGTTTATGATTCTTCAAGTCTTCTTTGTTCTTTAAAGAATTCCCTTAAAAGAAATAAAGAATTCAACAACGCCTCAGGGTGAGAACTCAATCTCTTATGCGCATCTTTTCTAGAGAAAAAGAAATGTTCTGCTTCTGATGTCGCCGGCATGACAGATAACAAAAGATCGTAAGCCATAGTTAGGTACAAACCCCGAGTACCTCCAGTACTTTCATAAATGCTTATTTCTCCCAAGATAATTTTCTTCAGATCCAACTCCTGTGGCACTTCTTTGGGTTTAGGTATCTCGCTGTGGCATGTGTTATTTATTTCATTCTCTAATTGTCTTTCAATTGACGTCTCTTCATCATCTTCTGATTCTAATGGATCGAGTACTCTTCGAGCGGTTGTTTTTGACTTGTAATCAAATGTATTTAACTTATCTTCAATTGATGGTTTTATACGCGTAAGTAATGTTAAAATTTTGTTCACCATTTCTTCCGAGGTGGGTTTTGTAAAAGCATCATCTTCTGCATACTCGTTATATATATGGCGATGGTGTAAATATTGTAGTATACTCGATGTAATTGTTCTACTTCGTTTTATGTGCTTTCTAAGTACTGTAGAGAAATGACGACTTATTGCATTGTTTTGAGCATCCAGTTTTCTGATCATAAATCGTAAGGCAGTATCAGCCGTTAATAAATTTGCACTTGGTTTACACAAAACTGTTATTGTTGCTCTAATGACAACAAGACTTTCATGAATTTCATTCAAGATTTGTAATTCTTCATCATTAATGAACAAATCCATTTCCAAATATGTTAGAGATTCGTGTATACAGTCTTTTAATTTCAAAAATCGGCATATCATTTCGCATAATGTACTCCAACTCTTTTTACAATCAAGAATAAGATGTATTTCTTTGTCATGTTTCTTCCTTACGTTATTTTGTAATATTTCATTTCTAGCTGCTGAATTTTTGTAATATTGTACTAATTTTCTGACTTTTTCAATAATTTCTTTGTAAATTAATTGGGGTTCTGTTAAGATTTCTGCATACTTAACAAAGAAAGCATTTCTACATTCCTTGGTATTATATTCAGTGTCACTATCATAAGAGTCTTCTGTATTTTGGTAAATTTGTGAATCTTCTTCTTTGTATAAAACTTCCAGTACACCATACTGAACAGCCTGCGCTAAACAAAATTGATTGTCGATCCCGAGAGATATTCCGAGTCTCATTTGAGACAACGAATTGGTGAAAGAAATTATATCATCATTAAGATTTATATCGAATGCTAGCAATCGGTCACTAATCATTTTTATAATGTCATCACTATCCATGCCACTTTTTACTTTAAGTAATCCCAAATTCTTTGGGTAACCAAATTTAGAATCTACATTATAGATGTTAATGCTTACGTAGGTCCTATTATTTAATGTTATATACTCTTCAAAACTAAGGCAGAACTTCATACCTAATGATTTAAATTGTTTCAATTCATTAGCTATCTCAATTTTGACCAAGTCACTTTGTTCAAGTATTAGACTGATTGTTTCGATATTAGATGATGGTAATTCGTATCCAGATTGCGATAGGAGGTTACATAAATCTATAGAATCACAAAAGCTACTTAAAGGGAGCTCATCTAATGCTGCCATTCTTGAAATTATTTTCATATGCGTATTTACATTTTGCTCACAGTTTTCTAAATTGTACGATGATTCATCGACCACTGCTTGGGCGAGATCATCATCATTATAAACAGGCGTTTCAAGTTCCGATTCATCGTAGGAGGTTTGTGCTTCTTGTTTCACAATAGATACTGGTATTTCTGCCACCTTTTCTTTCTTCACGTTAAATCGAGCTATCTGATTTCTTTTATCTGGCCTTTTTAAAATGTTGATTTTATGCTTCGACTTTAAGTGGGTGTGCAAGCCGCTTGTCGATGCCCCGCTGGTTTTAAGAATTTTAGAACATATTTTGCACTTGGCAGTTTGAGCATCAGCAGACCTTAAGAAATGACACCATAAATATGAGGACGAGCTATGATATCTTGAATACTCTTCAAAAGACGAACTGGACCTGAAAAATATGTATGTTGAAATTATAGTTATGTTAGTAGTACTATATACAGTTTGACAGACGTTATGTACCTTTCTAAGTTTATATTTTTGGGTGATTTGCCTGCATTATCATCGTAAGAACCATTATTATCTTGTGCCATGACGATCAATAGAGGAGCATCGTGAGAAGCTTTCGTAGTTTCATTTTCAGAATAATTATTCCGTTTTTGTACAGAATCTACCTTGATACCATGTCGAGTTTTTAAATGAGCATGCAAGCCGCTAGTGGAAGCCCCATTTGTTCTTACTATCCTCGAACAGATTTTGCACTTTGCACTAGATCTGTCTGTTGCAGTAAGGAAATAGTTCCATGTTGAAGATGGATTACGTCTCTTTTTGTACTCTTGATAATTTTCCGACGACCTGGAAATATGATAAATATTAAATTAAAACTCAAACGGCGAGTAACCCGGCTTGATTTCTGAGCGAAAGTAAATTTTGTGACCTGTTTAATGAAAATAGGATACATGAAATCAACGCAGAAATACTTATCTAACCCATCTTAAGAACAAAATAACATGTTAATTATTTAAAGCAATTATAATCAACCCATATTTTTTTACTACGTGCAAATGTAAGTATGTAATATTAAAATTAATTTTATTCAATTGCTTGTTTCGTAGCGATTTAAAAGATTCGCAGAAATGTTGTTTCAATAATAAAAATGCCTATTTAAGCACTAAAAGTAGTATCACTTTGCCAATTTGTAAGCAATACTAAAAATCCAACCAGCCAATTGTCCATAACAACCATTTTAGGTCATAGTTTGCTTCGAATATATGACGATATGCACAATATAGTCAAAGCAAACTATGACCTGTGGTAACAATAAATAATTATAATAATATCATACAAAACGGCATAGCAAACGATATTAAGCTCGATATTTTTATTCAAACAAACCGGTTTTATTATTCAATATCCAAACTCATGACACAACTTTTAAAAGTAATGATTGGATTAGCAAAAAACATCGAATCTATCTCCGAAACACAATGTATGTGTTAGAGCAATACTTTGTGTAAAGTAGTTATTGGTGTGTTATTCTGTATAAATTGGGTACTTACATTGTCTTTATAACGCACAAAATCCAGTTAAAAATGCATTTTGTTGTAATAAAATAAAAACCGATTCACAATTGTCACTTGACGTCGCGCTCGGCACTACTCGGGAGCGATAGCGGTATTCGGCATGCGTCGGTACCCCGCGTCCTTCCCGCTACGACCGTTTTCACAAAACAAACGAAAATATGCCCTATATCCAAGCCCCTAAGCCGAGTCTCGGCTGGTATCGACCGCAATTCTCATATGACAACCGGTACAAATTATACTGCGCGGTGGAAGTTGGATCGTTCCGCTAGCCGCTAGCTTTTACATATAATTTTTTTCAAAAACGAGGTACGGTATTGGTACTACTCAATAAAGTAGGATGACGCTACAGAATCAAAACCGTTTAAAGGTTTAAACTATTTTGAGTTTTATTATTATTCTGTCCTCCGGAATGGATGTTTTGTTTTTATTAATACATATTAACAGCATTAAATGAAATTTAAAGAACTTAATGCTTTATTTTAGGTAATAACGATTAATTTAGTACTTTTATTCCGGTTAAATCAAGACTGAAGGAAGCTCCATTATCCTCGTCTTGGGTGTATGATGAATTCAAATGTTTCTATCAGGCTTAGTAGGTAACAATACGACTGAAGGCTACTTACCTGCTACAATAAACATATTACATGATTGTAATATGATCAGGACAGGTACCTATCCCACATTCATGAATATTAATTCTCTCATGTAAGCGTCGAATATCATTTCAGTCATGTTTCCATGCATAATTCAATAATAATTGTTTGCCGATAATTGGATGTTGGACACCGATAGTGAAGCTTTAGTAATTATTATGGATATCTGTTCGATCAGGGATCATAATCTAGGACAATATACTTGCCTGTCATATCGTCGCATACATTTATAAACCTATATTTTTTTTAAAGTTATGTTTAATCGTACGTACATACGAGACAGTAAAATGCCGGAAATAAACCGGTTTGTGAACTATGAAGGCACTTACAATGACAAAATTTAATACATATTTGTAAGTTGACTTGCGAATATTACTTATATGAAAAAATACAATTTAAAAATATATTCGTTAAAATGTATTTTATTCATGTCCAATTTCCAGAAATATACTGATTCCAATTACTTTAATTATTTCAATATTCACACGATTTTCTACACAAAAATTCAACACGTTTGCATTCGATGTTTCTAATTCTTTGTTTCTTGGGTCTAATTAGTAAAACTTCGGCATAAAATGAAAACATCGCCAAAGAAGTAGTTTTTAAGAAATTATGGCAGGAAAGGCGCTATACAGTCGAGCGAAGCATTTAATTGGCTACCACTTTTTGCCAGGCGCAAGTTTGTGACCCAGAGAATTCTTAAGCTATAATTAGATATTAATATAAGTACTACTATACGAAGTGCAAATATGCAAGCATTATTTCAATGTTTTAACCAAATTTCGTCAAATAAGCAATAATTATTAAACTGTTTCGTAAGTGACATCGACAATAGTCACGTCTATTAGCAGTTCCACCCGCTTTCGTATGCATTACTAGTGCTCAATACGCGCGATTTTTCGAATGATAAAAAAGATTTTTTATATATTTTAAAATAAAATTATTAAATATATCTTAAAGTTTTGAGGTTTCAGTCAAATGGTTCTATGAATAATGTAAAATATTTGGAACAAACAATAAAAGTAATTTTATTTAATAAATTGGTTGCACTTATCCTTGACAAACTGTATTTTAAAGGTTTTATATATGGTATACATAAATAAAAGTAAGAAAGTAATAAAACTCATTTTCATGTACTTTTTTATTTCCATTTCCGCATCGAGAAATGTTCTACAAACTCTGCATGAACTTCTATAAAGTGATCTACATACAAAGACTCCGCATATGATTATATCCAATCACAATTTCAGCTGACTATAACATGGACGTATTAAGCATAACTTCATACATGTATGTATTCCACTTCAATATATAAATCTAATTTATAAAATATCATCTATTGTATTGCTTTTGAACATACGCCAAATGAATTAAGTTACATTTGTCAATGCGAATACAGCAGCTTTTACTATTTACTTTAACAACGTGAGTTCTAGAACAAAAAATAACAAATATTATACTCGATTCTATTTTAATAGTATAATTTAATGTCCAGCAACATGTCGTTACCGAATCGATATTCTAAGTCAAATCACAGTTACCTTGAACAAGCCCAGATAGGTCAACGCGTATACGCGTGCCTCACGTGGATGCCAAGGTGTCTGAAGATGCATCAGAACAGCACCAACGAGAAAAGACTACCCTCTGATTATAGTAGAGGGATTTTTAATACTGAGAGCGACACAAAACTCGGTAATATTTTAAAGAAATGTTCGCATATAATACATGTATCTCAGTTTGCCTCTTGTCTTAACCGTCACATTGTTTTAGCAGATAGAAACTACGCTAAAGCATTCGTTTTTATATTTACATAACATAATTCATTTTAACGCTACATTAAGCTAATGAGGTCATATTTTATTGTAACTAGGTCGTGTAAAAAAATTATATATTTTTCTAATGTGTAAAATTACAATGTGTATAATGTTACTATTATATAAATGTTATTTTGTATGGCAATAATTCTCTATAACTGGCTAGCGCTGTCTAATACAGAACGACAATTGATTTGCAAAAACGCCTAAAATGCACAGGTAAGCTTATTTCTTTATATATTGTAATCCTTATAAAAACTAAGGCTTAAATGTAGACTCCAGTAAGTTGAGAGCTGAGCTGATGATGCTCAGAAACACAGTATTCTTATCGCTTATATATACTTATCGCTCAAATGGAAACAGAAAATAATTTGTCCCTTTGTAGTGCTGTCACACTCGAAATATAAGGGTGCGTCCACATTTGGCGAATATGCTCGCGAGCTGCGCGTGTGCATTTTTGTTCGTGCGCCGTTCCTGCGACGCCCGCGCGCGGTTCGCTCGCAACCTAGCGGCGGCGCGCTAGCGGCTCGCGTCTTCCTTCCGCCCGCGCCAGTAAACGGAACTGTATTATATGAGCCTTGCATGAGTTGCGCTAAAGAGGCGCACCAAATCATTGCCGTGACTGCACGCACGCAGCTCGCAAACGGCTCTCGAGCTGCACATTCGCCAGATGTGGACGCACCCTAACGAATTTTTTTTATAGAATAGGAGGCTAATATGAAGGGGCTCATCTGATGTTAAGTGATACCGCCGTCATAGGACCCTCTTTTAAGAATCGGTACGCTCTTTTCTTTAAGGACTCTTAGTCGATTCGAACTCGGAAAGTTTATTAAATTGGAGTTGCGATGTTAATATATTGTGTCTGGTCTAACTTATAAATAAAATACTTATAACTGATTTCTCTAAAGTTGTTGGTTTTTATATAGTTATTTTTGTTTTTACATAATATGTAGATATATAGCAAATAGAGCAAAATCTAGATCAAGCTCCTAAATAATTAATATAATAGACAATAGTATCTTTGAAATTATTTCGCCAGATTATCTCCAAGTTTGTTATTTCTCAACCTATCTCTCTCAGCGCTCAACATTCGTGAAGTAATTTTGGAGCGTCTTCTTAAAAAGTCTAATATATCCAATTTTTTAAAACGATTTTTAAATATATAATAAATTTTAATCATGCTCTAGCGCAAATATTTGAGCACGGAAAAGAAAATTTACAAGTTTTATGGAATTAATTACATTTTGAAATGACAAATATTAGTTTTTTTCTCATAAAACATAATTGGATGACATAAGGAGCATTCGAAAACGCGCCTTAATACGATGCAACAAAGACGCAATTCCATATACATATTTCAGAAAATGATGACTTCCTTCCGCCTTGAAGTCGAGTTTAAGAAGTCTTTATTGACCATGAATGGATATTGCGCTTTAGTGCATTGAAGTACGGTCTATTTTACAACGAAAGAATTCATCAGTGGTCTAAGCCAAAATTATATCCCACACATTAACTGATTTAAACTTTCTGATAACAATCGTATCACGAATGAAAAACAATCGAGTTAAGAAAATATGAAAAGCGTAAATATAATATGTATTATAAAACATTGCATAGACTGAAAAAAATATCTTATCTTAACCGTACTCAAGAGTCATTAAGGTAGGAGTTGAGTCCATAATCCGGTAAACCAATAACATAGTTTTACATTACTTAAATAAAAAAATAATCAGAGCACGGCTTGAAGCATTTCAACTAATTCTTCGGGACGTCGTAAAGTATTCAAACGTCAACATAAAGAATACAAAAAAAACATAATTATACTTATTTTACACCCTGCTATATTCACGTTGTACTTAATACACGGATTTTATGTAGCCAAACCAACTACTAGAAATATTTATTGCTCACGGGGACGGGCAAATGAGCAAAAGACGAAACTGTTGTGCGCTACGTTACGTACATTCTCACCCCGAGCTGGCAGTGGCTGAGCTATCGCTAGATCCAACCGAGCCGGACCTGCTGAAGTTAAAAACCAGCAGGAGTAGCACAGTAGGAGTTTCAAGTCGGAGGCCAAGACATTTTGGGGCGCAAATCAAAAAGGGAAGTGATTTTTTACATATAATTTTGCAAAAAGCTGTAGATTTTTTCTTATATTATAAGAAACACGATAGAGAATAATGAAGTTGCTAATGCATTTGGAATTCTAAATGATCTTGCTATATTAATAAGGCGTTGTAGGGTAAGATTCAATGTTCTTAGCGCGAATTTTAAGGGATTTGTAATATTCTTTAAACTAAGTCTCGATTCATTGACTTCGACGGATGTATAAGTTTCTTGCATTGCTTCTATGCAATGTACGCGCTTAAATCAGTGGCCACGATATGGGCAGATATATGTTTTATTTATGTATTTAATTTTCCCAATAGGCAAAGAATTAGTTCGGCAACTTTTTCATAAATTTCTTATATGCACTACTAACAAACTATTACTAATAATGCACGGGTATAGTAGCTTGTTCTTAAACTTACACCTTCACTTATGTTATGAAAATGTAATACCGTACCGGCATAAGTTTTACGTAAAATCGAGCAAATTTAACAAGTTGTATTTCCATTTAACATACATTTTAATATCTATGTATGGGAGCGTTCCAGTATTACGTAACGAGTTTTTTAACCTTTTGTTTTTTAACGTTACGATGCGGGACGATTGAATTACGCGTTATTAGGTATAGAAGAGTCACTAGTGGTCACGAAACGTTTTACTATACTTAGATATAGTACTGTAGAAAAGCGTTACGGCGCGATACATGGGTGTCAATATTCTCCAAAAATTGCGTGACGTAATACTTGAACGCTCCCTATGTCACCTCTGAATTATAATAATCTATAGTTGTATGTAATTTAACCTCCTCTAGACAAACGAAACAATATGATTAGTACTATATCAACTTAATAAAAAAAATTATGCTATAAATGTTACATGACGTCATTAATATCCGTCATATTAAACCGTGCGACCAATAAACGAGGAGTTTGACGTTTCCCGAATACTAGAACGACTTTGAACATTACTTTTTTGTTGAAGTATATCTAAATCGTATCATTCAAAATCCTCAAAATTTTGTGTTTAAAGCCAAAAAACTTTGTATAATCCTTCTAATTGTCTCATTATGAATAGTTTCCATTTATTAGATCATATTGTTTTTAATAAAACGTGTTAGAATTATTACAACGATCAAATTAAACTATTTAAAAGTTATGACGGTCAGTTCGACATTCTCGACACAAAATACAATACACAAACTCAATTCATTGATTTAAAAAAATGTCACTGAATAATTCAATTATTAAACAAAGTACATTTACTCCATTATTAACGCATTATATAGTATTCACTGTATTTTAATACTATTACTATATTTCTGTGAAGAAAAAATATATTAAAAAAAACATTAAAAATATGCAATTTTTAGTGAATTAAGGATAGAAATACCCAAACAGGATCTATTAATAAATGATATTATACGTATTATCCTAAACACTTGTCTAGAGGTAACAGAATTGAGAATTAGAAAGGTCTAAATGCGGTGGGATACTTGGTGGGAATCGCACGCTGCGTGTATTCCGCGAGATGGGACCAGCCTAGCTGCGTGTGCGCAGCAACGAGACGCTCTTCAACCTCACGGGATGGTTTCTCTTCCAGCATTTTGTTAAGTAACTTGATAGCTCGGCCCCAGTGTTTGAGGGTAAAGCAGTGCCAGACGCCGTAGTGGATCACCTAAAAAAGGTATGAAAAGGTTCAGAGTTCGATTCGTGGCGAAATCTTTTGGTTGGTGTGCACATAACAGCGGGATGGGGCAGATGAGGCAATCCGAAAGGAGGCTGATGTTAAGTGATTCCACCGGCAATGGACACTTAATGCCTTTTTAAGGATTGATACGGTAGGGCCAGTTAAATAGATTACATTTGACATTTCATCAAAATTCAATAACGTAACGGCGGACATTATTGCTAATTTTTTGTTATTTTAATAAAATCCTTTTTCGAACGTAATCCTAAAAAACTTCGATAGAAAAAAAATACAGCATTTATTAACAGATTCACATATGTTTGAAACAACGCTACGGAGCCATAACTGACAGATGTCACATGTCAAATGTGATTTATTAAATTGCTATAGTTATTAGTTTATCTATTTTATTTTAATCTTCGCGCTCGTTTCCGAATGGGCCCCTAAACCGATTTTGACGAAATTAAGTGCTTGTGTCAGTTTTTTTTTTGTATTCAAGTCGTGAAAGGACGTCTGTCAGGTCTACCAATTTAGAATATAATAATAATAATAACATATGTATAACCTTAGTATCAGTGAGGTCAGTGAACTTGAGCAGCTCACTCATATTGTCCTTTAGCGTATCTGCGATTTTATCTCTGGCAGCGGCACTAGATGCTAAGGCGTGAAGACGACACAAAGCTGTTCCCTTACGACATAAAGCTTCTATTAGGTATCCGCGCTGCTTCTCATGTTCCCTGTAAAGTAAAAAATGTAATAGCTTTAATACATTTGTTTTATTTATTGAAGTGAAACTTCTTCATCGGGGTTGGGAAAAAATTTAGTGTAACATTTTTGCGTTACGCGTCACATTTTTCCGTTACGCGCCATGTTGCTTTTTGAAGTCAAACTTCTTTATCGGCGTTAAAATATGACATATAGTATGTTTTTGACTTTGAAGTTTGACAACGGATTACATTTTCGACTTGAAATTTGCTAATCGCAATTTGCAGCAATTAATTTGTAAATTGTATGCTAGGCAGTGTATCAAAATTGTGTTTAAAGAAATAGTTTCTAATAAGGTCATAAAGAAGTTTCACTTCTTACGTGTGTACACCTATTACACGCACAAATTTTTTATTTATTTATTTCACATCATCATTCTATCTTTACAGTTATTACTAATTCGATAGAACGACATTACATAAATAACATTTAAAAAAATATATTTCTATACTTTAATCTTATAACTAATACAGGAAGCAACTCTTGTTAACTTAGCCAGTGTACAAACAAATACGTCTACGTCTACCTTAACAGAAATTCTATTTATTATATGTATTGCTCGCGTGAGTGGCGCTTCGCTAACCAAGTTGTAATGTGCGCGCGTACATCCAAAAGTTGAAACTTCCGCCTCAGGTTTTTACTTGGTACCCGTAGACCCAGTCTCTATATTATATGAACCCGACCCGTAAGTATCTTAAATATATACCCCGACAAAGCTAGCTCTCTTGAGGCGTAGCTGGTCATAACCCACCATACCCAGAACAAACAGGGTCGGGTACATAAGCGGATACAAGGGATACACTCCATAGTCTCTTGTAGAGGTAACGGGTGAATTTATTTTGTACTCGCTCCAACATGAGACTGTATTTAGCCTCATATGGGGCTAAATACAGCCAACATAACATATAATACCCTCAACGGCGCCAAGGCTCCCGAGTCAAAAGCGTCCTACACGACATTATACACAATACGATTCGTGATAAGCCTTCCGTAAAAGACGTTACGTATCTTCGTATTGCCAGCAGCAGGGCATTGCGATACGTCTGCATTTTGGATTCATTCTAAATCTCTTGAAAAAATTATAAATCTAGAACGCATTTGAATAAAAAGAAAATTGAAAAAAGGTAAGTGTACGTTACTTTTTACGTAAAAAGTCGTGAATGCTACAGTCCCACCGGACTTGGGCGTGCAGAGACCTACAGCCGACCATTTTTTTGATGACCAGTTCGTGATTCCCTTGGCTCAGAGATGCTGCTTAACACCATCCAGCCCTTGTAACTTTCTTCCATCGCTTTAGCTTTGCTGGCCACTAGGGTTTCCATCTAAAAGCCTTCATGATACTCTTACTTCCTCCTTTTTGATAACCCAGTCCATTATGGATTCTTAAGCCGTATATCTCGTTTCCCTATGTAGGGGAAGATCGTTACCCTTCGTACGCGGGGCACATTCATACAGTCAAAATAAAACTTGAACGAAATAAAGTACAGTCTTGCTTTTGTATGTGTGCATGAGTCGAGGTACCAACTATACATCAACGAAGTTTCGTGAAATTCGCACCGATGAGAGTGAAGTTACAGGCATAGACGTGTTTTCGCGCTCGGTAAGTAATTTTTGATCTATGTTTTTATCTCTTGTTACCGTAGATAAAATAAGTTTTCGTGTAGAGTATTCTATCAGTAACTAGCAAAATATACTTAAGATACGTCTCCAATACTTAATTTATGACGTTTTCCTATTAATATTAAAATAAGTTATATTTTGTTGTTATTCAGTTAGTGGGGTACATTCGGACAGCACTAGATGGGGCACATTTGTACGAATTGTACAACTAAATTTGTATAATAATTTGTCGACGCGAACTGTCTTTTTCATTCAAATTAAGTTTTCGACTTTCTACATATTACACTACTGTTAAGGCATCTTGACTAAGGTTGATTTTGATGCTTGTGAACCAGATGCTGTGAATAATTTACCAATCCATCAAATAGTAGTTCCTTCGAAGTCAGTTTTGACACCAGAGGCATTTCGACCCTATTCGCATTCTGTAAGAAGTAATAAAACAAGCAAAATGACGATGACGGCCAGGAAAACCACGAATTTATACTGCCACACCCGAAAATAAGAAGTTGTAATCCACATCAAAGAGTAAAAAATGTAATTCTAAATTTAAGATACCTAACTAATTAAATTTTGTTTTACATAAGAAAAGTATTTTATTTTTGTTTAATAGAAATTAAATCTTTATTTTTGTGTTTAATTTCATTGCTAATAAATGAATTTTGAACTACCCCACAGCGTAAGAAGATACCCCAAACACTGTACGAAGGTGCCCCGTTGATGGGGCAGATTCGTACGTTTTCCAGATTTAGTTTAAATCATAATTATGGTTGAAACATCGGATGAAATCATTTGTCATTTTTTTATTTGAATCTCAGATAGTTAGACTATAAATTTAAGCTATCAGGTGATTGATTCATGGAAAAATAAAAAAATTAAAAAATAAAATGTGAAAACCGTACGAAGGGTCCCCACCTTCCCCTATAGCTCACGATCTAAATCGCTTATGTAAAAATATTAAAGTGATACTAACTGCTTAATTTTAGCAGCTTCCGGTCTTGAATCGTTCCGTATTCCCAAATAGGCCAATAACTGTTCTTGGTCGACCCCACGAACCACTTTATCCGCCACATTGACCAATTGCTCACACCACGCTGTCGTCACTTCTGGTACTCCCAAACTTGGCAACCTGATTTTCAGACAAGTTTATTTATTTATTTACACACACAATTAAATAAAAGGAAGGCAACTGGCGGCCTTATCGCTTTCGAATGATCTCTTCCAGGCAACCCACTGTGAGGGAATAAAATAAATAACGTGAGAGCAAAATGCAAAGTGTAAATAAGAATTACTTAGACATAAAGAATGGAAGAAAACAAAGCAATTAAAACAAATGTAGACAGTGAAAAGACGAATAACAAAAAAAAAAGAAACCAAAATCTAATCTAAATTTTATAAAGTAAGTATTAGATAATACTATGATTTGGAATGCGAACTGGAAAAATGAAAAAAAAATATCCTTAACTTTAATGTTATTACAAATTAATAAACAAACAAAGGGGTGCCTTTCTCGAACCTAATTTCGCTGATTTTCTGATGATTTTTCTTTTTTTTCTGCTTAGTCATTAAAATTAAATTTGTTGAAAATTTTATTTTATGTTTATGTTAAAAAATAATATTTTATTTTAATGTGTGTATTGTCGTGTGTGTTTTAGTTGTATTTTTTTTAAATTTCTATTTGATTTTTTTTTTAGAAACTTATGCTTGCGTTGATTGTCGCACATTTTGCATGTAAGATTTTGTGAAATAATTGGTAGATTTAGGACTGTGTGTGATGTCGTGGGCTTGATAACTAAATAAATAAATAAACACAAAAATCTGAATATAATTCCTTACTTATTGCAATCTGTGGGCGGATCTATAGCCTGAAGATAAGCGACGTGTGCGCCGAGATATCCGGGGAACTTTTCTACCAACTCCTCATACACTTGGTCCAGTTTGTCGCCTTCTAAAAATTTAAAATATTCTACATAATATATGGAAAGAAACAAAAATTGTTAATTAACTGTCATGCGTCAAAAGTGACGTTTTTTTAGATTGAAATATTAAGGGTTTACTAGTGTGTACAAGAAGCATTTTTGTTAGAATATTTTTGGATTTTAACTGGGAATTTGAATAAAATAATTGTTTTGAAGGACTTTTACAAAATAACAAACTCAAAACTTCTATAATTAGTTCAGGTAATTGATTCATTACTTTACTATCTTCATGAACAATAAGTTTTTGGTTCATTATTAGTTCAAGATAATTATTGTTTAAAAACTACAATTAGAATAAATTTATAATTACTTCAGCAACACATTGGACTTTCATTCATCATACATATACACCTATATTTTTATTATTGTATACAAATTTGAAAACAATTATAAACTATTTCTGCTTGCTTATACGTGAGTAATACACACAGTAAAAGAACATTGCGAAGAAACTCTGTCGTACACGTCCGTAACGGTTCGACCGAATTTCACGTAAAGCCTAAAGATTCCGTTTCCGGTCATCTTGAGAGAATGGGAGAAGATCGAAGTTAAACCACCACGCGAGCTATATTTCCCTCAAAAAGAAAAAAACACTGATTTAGTTTTAACTGAATGCAAAAAAGGAGGTTATCAGATCGTGTAATTTTTAAAATGTTCAAGTATAGTTAAGAATAAGGACGTTAGTTTTGTAACGGTCATGATACAATAACACCTTAGTTCACCTTTTATAAGTCAGTATTCCTTATAAACTCCATTGAATATTCACAAATCATTTATTATATATGTATAACTTACCAAGTTTAGGCAGCCAAGTGGTAGACAGTTCTTTAACAGCATCCAAGTAGTCCTCGTGAGTCTTTGTCTTGTCCTTTTCTTTATCGCGGTTGTCCCTACGACGAGGCGCCTCACAGAGCACGTACTGCACTTGGTACACGTCAACGCGACGACCGAGTTCGTCCTTAGCGAACGTAACTGTGCCCGTTAACGTTTGACCGACGGTTAGGTTAGAACGACTTATTCTGGAATTGAATATTAACAAAAATTTGATCTAAATGGAATTGAATATTAACAAAAATTAGTCGAATTATTAGTTTAGTAGTAATTCGAGACCAAATATATAATATACATTTGAGATTATTAATTATATTTAGGATCAAAATTCTACTCTTTTTACTAAGTGATCTATCAATTATCTGTTTTGTATTCATATAGAATTTTTAATATAAATCATATTTTCAACGTAAGATATATTAGATAGATTACAATCTATCGAATAATAATACGTCAAATTGTAAGCAGTGCGTTGAGGTTCACAATATTTCGACAGTTCACAATCTCGCGAGATAGATTATAATCTAACAGTATTCACAATTTTACGATGACAGTTACATAAAGCTAACCTCCCCACACAAATATGGGATAAGTTTTGGCCTAAGTGACTTATGCATGTCCTTTGCAACTCTAAAGTGGTGCATTTGAATCACGGTTATATACATTATGTATACTAATCGACTTTTCTATGTGAGCAATTAAGACCAATTTCTTCCATACTTAAAAAAAACTTACTTATCGGCAGGAACAGGAGTGAAGTAGAGTGGCATCAAGTTACCACTCGATAATGAAGCCGTCGTGAACTTTTTACCACCCGTTAGGGCCTGGAAATATAAATATTTATATGTTGTTAACCAAAAATTATATAAGAATTAAAACTGTGGAATCGGAACAGCTTTCCATAGGCAGTCTACTTGAAAACTAAATGCAATAAATATCTCATATACATACATTAGACTGGGAGCAATAGGCGTCAAGGGTGATGGGCTGCGCTAGTCTCTGCTGGACAACGAGTGGAACATCCTGTAGACGTTCCAATAGAGATTTGTTCTCGTGACGTACGCTAAGTCGAACTGTGTATTCACCTTTTTCTAGCTTCACTGAATACTGAAAAAAGGTTACAATTTAAAATACGATTAGAGGACTGGCTTATAAACACACCATATGCATTTCATTCACTAATTCACTCACACACTAACTCACACCCACAAACTCGATCATGCACTCAGGCGTGTAGGAAACAGTTGAAAAAACAAAAATCATTTAATAAAAAGATGTTATTAAATAATATATATTTATGGTATTTACTATAAAGTTTGTTAACAGAACTAAATACAATAAAATGTATAATCACAAAATACATTAATTATAAGTATCTCATACTGGTAAACCGCAGGGCTATAAATAAAAATGTTAATAGATATGTTACCTTGGAGGGATACGCATCGCCGACAGCCATCAACTGCTTTGAAGAATTGTAAAGCATCCACATTTGAGACTCGAACTCTGACTCGTAGAGCATATCGCATAGTAGAGATACGATTGGCGCTACCTGAAATATATTTACATTTTCAGACCATGTTCAGATAGCTGAATTTTGACACGCGTTTTCAAATAGCGCGACTACACATCGTGGTATTTACATACACGATCACAGGAACGTGCGTTAACGTGTATCAGCGAGCGTTAACGCGCATCAGCGCCCAGAGAAAAAGTATCTAGACACAGACGGACGTGCGTTGACGCTTGTCATTTGACCTCTTTATAAATTTGATCGCGCGTTTACTTGCGTTGCGAACTATTGACCTTAACGAACTTAACGGTGTTTTAAGACAATTTAAATATCTCTGATCTTTAAATCATTCGTTAAATGCTTAACTGAACGGCAAAGATGGTTGCAACGATGTGACTGAAGAACCAAAACATAAAATAAAATATTATAGAACTTGTAAACGGGCAAGAAGCTCATCTAATGTTAAGTGACAGCCATAGAAACTCTCAATGCCTGGCGAGTGCGTTGCCGGTCTTTTAAGAATTAGTACGCTCTTTTCTTCGACTTAAGAGTTGGTTTGGAAATACTTCAGTGGGCCGCTGGGCCATAAAGTTAGTCAGGGAACACCCTAATTTAATAATTATCTAACCTGTAGTTATACCTACGAATGGTAGATATTTAGTTCGAATCCCAATAATCCACCATTCCTTGCAGTTACGACTCGTATTATGGTATTGTTTTATAGATATGATGAATGAAAAACCCGAGCATGAGACCAGTGTTTTAGATTTTCTTTTAATGTAATTTTTAATTACTTTTCTTTTAATACTTAAAATAATAATTTCTATCAATTTGATGGTTATTAAATACAGAAAAGCAAAATGAATTTTCAACCTGAGTATACCTCAGTGGCTTTTGCGATGTGGAAGGTGTATGTGTTAATCATCTGATAGATCTGCCTCGATGGTGGAATCACATCTCTGCTAGTCAGCGGACTTATTTTGGAATCTGTTGGCCTGGAATTAGTAGAAGGTGCGCATATATATTGGTGCCAGTATATGTAATATGTGCGAAAAGCTGACTTTACTAATTACACGTGGGAAATTCTTTTAAACCCTTTACGAAAACCCTTAAAGATTGTTATTAAGAGTAACATTATTATTGTACAGAAAAAAGTAAAAATAAATAAAACATAGCCATCTACTATTGCATGCATCTCTTGTATACTGGCCGGAAATAAGATGTGTATATATAGTCTTTTATTTTGGATTTAGATCTGTTTATTTATAATTAAAATTTAGATCCAAAGACAATTTTTTTTTTAATAGTTATCTACTGCCATTGTTTCCAGGGACATTTTCTAAGTTTTAAATTTTTACTAAAAACATACAATATATTAATTACAATAAGCTAGTTCACGAATGACGTGTTACGCGTCTCGCTAGATACGCCCCGGCTACATCGGCAATAATTATTTAAGGATTTAGAACTGTTTATTCGATCTCGATTCTGTATATTAGATCCAAAGACAATATTACATACATATGGGTCAAATTCTAAACCATCCTTTCATAAAAAATGCTAAATTAAATCTGGTATTTTTTATTCACCTGTATAAGGGCTCCGAGTGTTTAAGCTGGGCGGCGGGTTGGACGTCCTGTGCACGTAACGCAGCGAGCGCTACATTTCCTAGCGCGTGCGCACTTAATGTCAACTGGGGTCCAAAGTCTGGTTTGAGTCCGTGAAACTCCAACGTATAGTCCATACATAAGTCGCCCAGGTTCGCCCAATACTTCGCTATTACTACTTCTAGAGTTACGCCTCCCTGTAATATTTATACAAAAAGTGCTGATGTATTGCGGGTACATATGTTCCCGCTGCAGACTTAAATAAATGCAATATAATAAAATCAGCTGCGCTACGACCTTGATAGCTGATTGGAATGTCACTACATGTTGACAATTCAATGATATGACTAAATTTGCTATTTCATAAATTGATAAATTTTGCAATTCAAACGTTAATGTTATTTATTTATAATGTTAAAATATATTTTTATTTTTTTGGACAATTCACACCAATTGTTAACTATATTAAAAAAGTATTACTAATACATAAAATAAATAATGCAAATCCTTTGGTTGACGACTTTTACTCTTAATTAATTTCAGATAAATATGCAAAATCTATACCTATGATTGATTTCCTACTTTATCGAATCGCAGAGAACCCATATTTTAAAGACAGCTTTGTTACTTTGACCAATTTTAGTAAGCATAATGTAAAATTTACACAAGTATTAAAAGTAAAATTCATAAATCACATAAATTATTGTCTTTGCCCATTTTTATCTAACACACATGTAATCTATTTTTATCGACACTTTACATCGATATCATATTATCGTCACTCACACGTACCTACAGAAAACTGGTCTTGCAGGATTCGCGCGAATGTGTGCGTGTACGCAGATAACCGGTGGTACGTGGTCAGTGCGCTTGGTGGCTTTGTATTTGATGCACATATGTTTACTTCTTTATATATTAAGTGAATAATTATTGTAACAAAACATTAAATATAATTAATTCACTTTGAAAATGGTGGTTAATTTATTTACCCCATACACATAGAAAACCCAAGTACGATTGTTACGCACGAAGCATGCTTCAGCGGCATACTTGCGGTGTCTACAGTCCACTTATATAGATAAATATATTTTTATAAACTCACAATAAGTTGAAATGGCAATAAGGTAGGTGCTTCGCTAGTGATCGCCAGCATTTTGTGCGTTTCGTGCGTTCGACAACTCCGTTGTGGCGCCAATTGCATACAATGTACGAGGAAACGACCGCTGACTTCGCCGTTATTACCAGCTAGAGACATTTTTAGCACCCCCCACGTCGCTTCTAAGGGAGCTGGAATAAAAATTATTAAATAATTAAATTTAGCTTTTTTATTGTTTAATAGCTATTCAATATGCCAAAAGAGGAATGCTCACTCAAAAAAACACAAAAAATTTATAATAAACATTACAAAAAATATCCTTTTTTTACTAAAACATGAAAACAGAACCCAAATTTTAACAAATGAAAACGAATATGTAGTTGAAACTTAAAAAACTCTACTCATTAGTTCCCTAATAAAAGTTGGTACTAGTGGTTTGATTAAAAATATCTTCATATGAAATACAGTTATCCGCGTTATACCGCGTTATAGGAAATCGTGTACTCCCAGTATTGCCTTAAAATCGTATTTTAGAACAATTCAAAAACTAGGAACAGGAATTTATTAAAGTTATTTATACTTTAATTTTATAACAACACAATTGAAACAAATGCAAAGGTACGCAAAACTAATTATGGACTTGACACATCATTATAATTTCACACACCAGAAATATAACATTTCAAATCTCCGTGTTTTAGGGGGGAGATACCACGTTATACGGGGACGGAAATAGCGTTATACGAAAACGCGTTATAGGGATACCAAGTTATGGTAGGATTGGTAGTCCTAACATTACGGAGTCCGAAGTCGGAGGATACATATTATAGCTATATAAGTAGAAAAGTCTAGTTAAAGGGGCAGTGTTACTGTAATATCTTGTTTAGTTATATACTAGATGTACATAGTATGACATACCGGTCTAGAACTCAACGAAAATCGTTATTATATAATATTTTTATTTCTTTAGAATTATTTGATTATATATTATTTATAACTCGAAGTGCTCTTCAGCAATTACCTAGACATAATAAAATATATAACGTGATACATTCCAGTTAAATCAGTATTCAAATAGACTAAAACATCTTAAGTATACTTACGTATAACAAGATGTCGGCGTATAGTCGCGGGCTTGAACACCACATTACTGTGCGTTAATTGCGGAGCTGCAGCGCTCGGGGGCAACGGCTGCGGCTGCAGAACTGTCACTGGTATACGGAACACTGGGCCCTTTTCTATACAGGAGACGTCGTATGCGTTTATACTGAAATTTTATTTGTTTAAATATTTTTAATACACCCAAAACATATTGATATCCGAAAATTAATTCAACTTCAAATAAAGAGCACCGTCGGCCTAGTCTCATCCCTGAGGTCGTGGTTTTATCGCCGGCTGTGCACCAATGGATTTTCTGTCTATGTTCGCATTTAACATTCGCTCGAACGGTGAAGGAAAACATCGTGAGGAAACTGGAAACGGCAGGTCTTGAACCCAAAAAGTCGACGGCGTGTCTCAAGAACAAAAGTCTGATCAAACTTGCCTATTAGAAAAAAAGGATCATGAAACAGATACATAAAAATCTGAGGCCAATACCTAAAGGATTTCAGCGCCACTGTTGTTGTTGTCAAAAAAATGATAACTTATTAGACAATACAAACAATTAATTAATGTGTTAATAACAATAATTTCTTCAAAGATTAGTAGAATTAATATAAAAAGTCAACATATTTATTTATTTACCTTATACAAAAACATACATATAAAAAAATAAAAATAAGCAGGTTACATAAGTTATATATACGCGATAGCGTTAACAAGTGATTTCTTCCAGACACCCCTAATATGGAACGATAAAAAAGAAACACCTACAGAGGATAAAGTACAAGAAGTGCATAAATAATAATAAAAATAATAAATAATCTTATATCTACCTTGCAAAATGCGGCCCTGGCTGTAAATGCGCTGTATTCACGCGCACCGACAGAAGTCTTGGCGCATTCATGAGATCTAAATGCGTAGGCGCAGAGATCCATTCGGCGCAAGTTGATAACGCCAATCGCACACCAAACTGAATCTGCCTGCGAATCACTGCTTCCTCTGAAATTATACACCTATATACGCTTTTGTGTATCGGCTCCTTATGATTGAGCAGTTATGGCTTTAGTCAGAAGTCACTTGGATAATTAGAGGGGGAACAAAATAAATTCAACCGTTACCTCTACAAGAGACTAAAGCTACGGTTTCCTAGAAAAGCGGTGCCGTTATCTAACGGCCGTAATGTAACGTGACGTCACCCATACGTTGTCTATAAATAACATCGGAGTAGGTTTTCTAGATAACGTTGAGTGTCACCGTAACGTCAAATAGCGGTGCTGTCATTTGCATAACGGCCGTCATAGCGGTGAAAAACAGTAGTTCAACGTTTTTCGCGTGTAGCGGTGCGCATATTTAATTAATACAATGACTTGGACGAGAAAAATGAACAATTAATTGATTTTGTTAAAAATCATGAAGCTTTGTTCAATATCAAATCCAAAGAGTACAGACAAGGTCAAATAAAGCAAAATTTGTGGAACAAAATTGGAATTTCACTTTTTTTCGTCTTCTGATGACTCTTCATCATCCAAGAATACTAATAATGCTATGTCCAAATCGTCAATTTTTCACCAGTGCACGACCTAACGCTCGAGTGAGTACCGAGTGACTACGATTGAATACAGTCGCACTACTTTCTAGGAAACCACAGCTTGGCCACCGTAAAGACGGCCGTTATTAACAACCGTAAAATGACGGCCGTTAGTTAACGGCACCGCTTTTCTAGGAAACCGTAGCTTAAAGAGTGTGAGTGACTCTGTGTGTTATGTACCCTATTTTTTCTGTGCACCATGCACCAGGTGCACGCGTAATCGCGGCTCAAGAATCGCACAGAGAGAACAACGCTACGTAATGAAATCATTTGAGAAAAGACGAATGTCCTTATAACGAATTTCAAGGGACCGAGCATTTCTTTTTAATATAAAATTTCTCCAAATCCTTACGGCTAACAATATTGTGTGCCTTACCTTTTGGCAAGGAGACATTGTAACGAGGTATGTACTCAGAACTTATTATTCAAGTTTGAGATTGTGTATCGACAGCCACCGAACCGTTCTTTGTGGTACAGGCCATATTAACAATTGTTGGTACTTCAAATAAGTTTTTAAACCCAAATACTTACTGGTCTCAGAATCCCTATGTAAGAAATGTGGTTCTATTGTGATAGCGACATCTCTCGGCGGTTCATCGGGACGCGGCCTTAGGAAAATTCCTTTGGTATTGGCACCGCAGGATATGTTAAACGTGACGTCACGCTCCGGCTGTTCGTGATATTGAGATAGGATCTCGAACGCCTGAAATTACAATTGTAATGATTTTAAACCAACTTAAAAAATCATTCTGACATGTATTTGACATTATGATGATATATTTAGACGTTGGGCTAAACATCGTATGTATGTTTATCAAATTTTCATATATTTAATTGGTTTTAAAAGTTGAGATGTTCTTTTAAATAAGGTATATTCCAATCGAACATTAAAATCAGTTCAGTAGTTTTTGATGTGTATTCACACATCACGTAGTACCTAAAGAATGTCGTCATATATTTGAAATCAGTATAATTTTGTTAAATGACTCTTATTAGTAGCAGTACGAGAATTGTTTAATTTGATTGTTATTGGCCAATAGCAATACCAATGGCGCGATACCACTTGTCTATCAAAGTCTGAGTAATATCAATGTCAGTTTTTACAGTCGAAACAGCTTGACTCACGTATGTCAAAATCCAATACATCAGTCTCGACATTTTTTTTCCGTTAATGAATTAGCATCCGCACTTATTAAGTAGATAAGCTATCTAAAATTTAATGAAACTATCAAATATGGTTTTAATATCACGAGAAGATAGCCATTTTGTACATGGTCCTTCGATCCGGAATTAGCGCATATAGAACGGAAACAAAAATTTCCAGTGTTTTATTAAGTCAGACATAAAATTCGGTAACAAATGCAAAGTCGGAGTGCAACGGTCTTATCGCTTATTCGAGATTTCTTGCAAGCAACCTATACGAAAAGAGCAATTTTATGTGTACTAATCTTAATCATATTATAATGTTGTATACCTTTTCAACATTGAGCAATCCACAGCCTTGAGCCCATGGTTCCACGTGGTTCAGATATGTAGCTGAATTTTCAAGAGCACGCTTCACAGAGTATGGCGAGTATGGTAACCCTTTAGCCTTCAGTCCGGACATTAATACAGCTGAAATTTGATTAAATTTTGTATTTTTATAATGGTAATCAAGACTAGTTCTAATTTTTTGAATATATTTTGATTCAGAATATATTTTGAATTTTATACAAAAACATGGGCATCGCTATCACAATTGGGAGTTGCAGAGTAACAGCGTTGATTTATCAAACTTAAAATTAATTTTAAATATAGGTTTCGAAAGCTTTTTCATATTAAAAACTTATAATTATTTATAATATGAATTTTTTAAACCTTAACATTAAATTCTTTATCTATAGACTATGATAAATTCTTATTTTATCCTGAAATGGCAATATTTAAAAAAAAATCTATCAAAATATATTTTACCGACAGCTCCAGCGACGTGAGGTGCGGCCATTGAGGTTCCATTCATTAGTTGCGAGTTGCGAAGAGTAAACCTGTAGATATTATGTAATTTGTTTAACGTTAAGCTTTAAACTCAGCAAAATTTTGATAAGGGAGCGTTCAAGTATTAAGTAACGTATTTTGGGAGGGGGGGTCCTTTTGTAAAACGTTACGATGCGGGGCGGGAATTAAATTACGCGTTATTGTTAATATTTTTTTCGACTTACACCACATAATAGTAACTAAAGAGTCAGTAGGTGGTCACAAAACGTTTTACTATACTTGGGTACAGTACTGTACTTGGGTACTGAAAACGTTACGACGAGTTACATGGGGGGGTCAATAATCTCCAAAAATTACGTTACGTAATACTTTAACGCTCCCTAAGTTAAAAATACTACAAATTTTGTTTTCAATCTCTGACAAAATGTAAATAGCTCGGATTATCAAGGACGTTGAGTTTTATTGTTGCTTTGGTTTATCATTGAGATTACTTCCATTACTTTTAAGGATTGTGATTTATTTTGATTCGATTTGCTTTGCTAAAAACAAACCTGCCCTAAAACCGCCATGTAAGTCAGAGGACAATAAAGACAGTGAATTATATTTCAGTTTTCATTTGGTATACCTCTAACACTAAATTATTTACTTGTTTCATATTCAATCACTTAACAAATAAAACTACGACCAATCAGAACAGAGCTAATGGAGTGGGGTCGAGGCGGCATCTTGTCTTTGGACACCGCGTTCAGGGAACGCAGGCAGTACTGATTCAGTATTCAGTGGAGCATTGTGGTGATGAGACATTGGACCGAGTTGGGTCTATGCGATTTGTGGTTCGGTAGATTGTGATTAAAAGTAAAATCGGTGCCTAGAACCCGCTGCTCGGTATAATTTAAGCTAAATTTGTAATGTTAAAAGGAATCAAACTAAATTAAATACTGTACGATAATTATGTATCTTTGTGCTCCCACTACATAACTCCCCAAAGACGCTAATTACCATGTCAATAACAATGGAGTGACGATATTTTTCCGACATATATATTTATTTCTAATTAAAGAAAACTCAATCAATATTTCAATAAAAAATATCTGAAACTCAGAAATATTTGAATATGCCGCTTTTCAATGAATATCCAATCCAATTTGATGATGTAGTCATGTTCTTTAAACGTTAATCACCTCGCAACAGAAGCGACCGCACCCCCTGGAGCGCAAATCGCCAGTCCGGCAGCGCCATCTGGGCAGGGTCCGCGGGAACTCCAACTGAAGGCGCCGTGTGGGACCCGTGCACGCATAGAGTACGCAGCGCTCATCATTTCCGGTGAGACGTACGCGCCCACACCTTTAAATTATTAATACCCCTTAGGTACGCTAATTTGGGGGGGAAACGTTACGATGCGTATAATAGGTAAAAAGAGTCACTAAGGAGTCACGAAACGTTTTACTATACTTGGTTACAGAAAAACGTTACGGCGCGTTACATAGGGGGGGGAGTCAATGATCTCCAAAAATTGCGTGATCTATAGAAATTTACTAAGTTCTAATAACCTCTTATGTCTCTGCAAATACTCTATCGAAATCACAAAATAGATTTATCTCGAAATTTAGTCAATGAAAAGGCAGCAAAATTTAAAAGAAAACTATAGAACATCTTCTTCAAATATTCATATTTATCATCTTCAAATATTTTAGACTTACCAATAAGAACAGGGTGAGCAATGTCTGGTGGAGCACCTACTGTCGCCAGCGCAGGTCCATGATTACCACCGGACACCACCCATGATACACCATAACGATTAACAACTGAGCTTATAATATCACCAATACGGCTGTAAACCACAAAAAAAATATGAATGTTGAAACAACTCTTACCTGTACAGAAATATTTTGCAGGGTCATTATAAGAATATTTATAGAAATTATAATAGCTCTGGTGTGGTGTTACATGTTAACTGTAAAGTATTTTAGTCAAGGGTCAAATGAAAATAAATACAACCAAGGAAAGAGAAAAATGTTTGATCCAATAAATATGTCTGCATGTAACAGGTCTTTGAATCATTATAATTAATAAAAAATAAATATTTTTGAAGTGAAACTTCTTTAGGCGGATGAGGGTAAAATTATAACAGATGAAACACAATAATAATAATATTAGCGTCACGGAGACGTGCAGTGTTTTTGTCGAAAGGGAGAGAGCGATTGAGACCGATTAAGAGAGAGTGAGAAAGGGGAACGTAGCATGAAGCAAATAGCCATGGAACGAGAGTAGGCACGTGAGAAAGATCGAGAGAGTGAGATAGAGCGAATGTCGCATCACGCACAGTGCCATGGAGCGAGAGGTGGGAGAGAGCTATAGTGAGAAAGATTACTCTCTGTAAGGGAAAAAATACACGCTATCGGTTGATGTATTCGTTTGGTAGTAACATATTAGAACTTTAGATGGCAATTCTGTCGCATAACGACTTGTGCAGTAAACTCAGATTTTTTATTTATTTATATTGTAATTAGCACGTATACAGTGTGTAAACAGTGTGTAAACAGTGTGAATATAGATATACAGGGGCTTTTACGCACGCACCTTTTTTTTTATTAGAACATGGGACAAACGAGCACGAGGCTTATTTGATGTTAAGTGATAAGCCCATAAACTCACACTATATTTTTTTTTATTAAGAAAAGCCAAAATCCTACATACCCAGCATTAGACCAATGTGCGTGTTCTCCATAACTCATATTAATGACATCTATCTGAGTCGTCTTACATAGCTCCATTACTTTGATACAAGCTCTAACCAAGGCTGTTCCAGTCTCCATAGAACCAAGTCGACTATCTCCTATTGTAAGTGAGACAATTTGTGCTCCAGGTGCTACTCCATTTCTATCAGGTTCTTCAGGAAAGTACCCAGAGGCAATTGCTGCTACATGTGTTCCATGAGTAGCTGTAAGAAGAGATACAAATAAGTATTAGTTTTTTACAAATAGCTCTTACTTCAGGAATACATATCTTAAAATTTTTAGGCTGATTATTAGAATTTGACAAGTCTTCAAGCTTTTAAGAGTTTAAGCAATTGACTCAATATCTGAAGACCTCTCCAGACTGAGATGTGAATATGATCCCACATAATTATGATACCAAAAATTATTATTTATTTTTGTTTGATTACAAGTGTAAACCAAACAGCATCAGCATAAAAAATAAATATTACAAAACCAATAAACATGAAAGATAGCTCTTTTTTATTTCATATCTGACTCAGGCCATAGATTGTTTAGATCTAAGAAATGCTAGGTTCCTCTCAATCTTTTGTTTCACCATATGAGTGATAATTGTGCACATAGAAAGAAAAGTCAATTGGTGCACAACCATGATTCCACCACACAATTTGCCCTAGTGGTAAGGCCACTAGGGCATTTCAATTAAAAACCTTATTTCCTATTTTAACAGTAACTTAATACTAATACAATAGAAAACTAACGTAAAACATAATATAAACATAACAAGTAAAAACTTAAAACCTAAACCATTTTATAACTAATTATAAATAATGCAATTCTTGTGAATTCAGCCAGTGTGCAACTAAATATATCCCTCTCACAAGCAATAGTGTTTAGGGTGCGCAAAACACGCGTAAATGGTGCTTCTCTAAGTAAGTTCGTCCGCGCCCGAGGCACTGCCAGCAATTGCGACCGCTTACCCCGCCGAGCGTGGTTATTTGGCACACGCAGTCCCAGTATTTCCAACATTTCCGCATTATAGATTTTACCTCTAAGGATCTTAAAAAAATATAACGTGATAGTAAGGTCCCTCCTTACCTCTAACTTGTTGTATCCTACCATGCCCAAGACAAACAAAGTTGGAAACATTATTGGTTAAAAAACCTGTATGATATATGCCATTCTACATAGATAATCACTTACAGCACATGCCAACAACTTCTAGGGTGTTTCCTTCATCATGAACATTGATAGTAACTGTCATCTCATCCAATGGTGTGAGGTGTGTGTGCTCATGGGTTCGACTGTACTCTCCCAACAGGGGCCCTGATGACAGATCCCCAATTTCTGATGTATCTATACAGGCTCTGGTAATTAAAACATAAATAGTATTAAAATTATTAATTAATATTTCCATTGTTAGCTTTATCTATATAAAAGATGATAATTGTAGTTATTACATCAAATTTTTAGCAGAAACGAACTCAAGTTTCACAAGATCTTCAAGATTCCTTGTTTACATATAAACAAATGGACTTCTCAATCTACTTCTCATATTAATGGAAGGCCAATTTATATAAGAAAGATTATTACTATATAGTGTATTTCGCTAATAGACATTATAATTGTAAGAAGACTTTGCAAAGTTTAGGGTACATTTAGTCATAAATACATAACATAATGACTGTAGTCATGTGTAATTATTTGATCACCATACATTCATGTCCATTATGGTAACAGCTCATATTTTTCACTTATCAACAAAACTATGTAATGCAGGAGGCATTACATAGTATTAAATATTCTTGCTATTACTATATTGTATAAATTTTGGCTTTACTTATACAGCATATTTATATGCATATAAATATTTACCATAAAACTAAGACATTTCAAAATGTTGCTTTATTGATAAGATTATTTACCAGTTTATATAAATATAAAAGTCTGACTTGGTTAATATTAAATAAACAAGAGTCTATATACCTCCAGACATTGCCATCATGGAACAGTACACAATCATAAGTTGGTCCCAAGTCATTATACTTTTTGTCAGCACTTTGAAGCACTTCTATTTTTGCCTCTAACTCTTCTTTTATAAGCTTGTCTTCTGCACTTAGTGTAGAATTCTTTGACACTGTAACCAATAAAATTAAAAATAAGTTAAAATAGGTAGATATTTTTTTTTATTTTTATTTATTTATTATATACATGATCTTAAATAGAAAGAAGTTGGTGTGGTGGAAACACAAACTGGACACAGTTTTTGTGTCCACCAGGACGTTGAACCTATTTAAATAATTAACTTATTACATACTTAGGCCAGTGACATACTATACAATATAACATTTTTACCATTAAACCATCAAAATTGCATGAACAAAGTAAAGGCCTATTTACATGATGCCATTTTCTTGTACATACCAGAGCAATAATTGAATGCAATAAATGAAGCGCAATAATTGCCGATCAAGAATTGTATACACTTGAAAACTTGAATGCAATTATTGTATTCAAGTGTAGACAAGGAAATAATTGCACATGTCTTTTGTTTACACCAATGCAACTATTTTAAGGAGATTATTGCTTTCAAGTTTTGACTTGTCTAAACACAGGCTTGTACATGCGTATACCAATTAATGGCGCTTTCGTGCAAGTATTGCACGTATTTGCATTGACAAATTTTTCATTCAAGTCTTAAATGTTTTAGAAGAGAGTGTTGAAGTTAGAATATGTAAATATAAATGTAAGAATGGCAGGCAACACTTGTCACATGTAAAGAAAAAGTTTTAGTTTAGAATATAAAGAATACCTGTTTGAATTTTATATAAAAAGATAGTTTCTGTTTTTTGTGTTCAGTACTTCTATTCTAAACGCAGATAGTGTAACATCTTTGGCTCTTTATAAACATAAATTATTGTTTTTTTTTAAATAGACCCTCACCACCAGAGCTCGTCTTCTTAAAAGATTAGAACCATCCAACAGAGAGGTATGAATATGAGTAAAAAGGTGTTTAAATTCAGTTCTGCTGATATAATAAAGTTCATTGATCGCAGTCATGAGTGTTTATGGGATACTGAAAATGTAAATTATAAGAACCAATGCACATAATGCTGCGCTAGCAGCATTTTCACAAGATTTTTTTTTTTCATTGACGGTTTCGGACCGAAGGAAATAACAAACAAAATAAAAAATTTAAATCAATTAATTTTTAATATAATTTTAATTTATTTAACTTTAATTTAATTTAATTCAACACACCCTCACTCACTGCACTCATGTTTGCAAATGAAGAGATAATTGCGTACAAGAATTGCGTAAGAAATTATTGTACGTGCTGTTTACATCAATAATAGTTTTGAAAGGAAACTTTTCCCATTGGTCAAGAATGTTACGTTTTGTTTAGACCATGCAAATCATTTATTGTGTAGATATAATTGTATGCTAGAGGCAAGAAAATGGCATAGTGTAAATGGGCCTTAATAAACCAAGTGAAGCATTTTCGCTCCACAGTTAGGCGATGCAAGACACCTGTTCTTGACGAGAATTCTCATTCGAATACAGTATGTGTTCCAATATTCGAATATGAATTAAATGACGATGTCTGATTTTTGTTATGTATAATTTATTATTGTTTGATTTATGAAGTAATTTTTTAATTTAAATTTAATAGTTTCTTGCTATATTAGTAAATAGTGTAGCTGGTAGCGAGTTTAATAGATTTGGAATAATATAGTCTTATGTTTTTATAATTCTATAGATCTAATAGAATATAAATTATCAACAATATAAATAAGACTCAGAACAAAATATGTTCCTTATTGATGGCTAAGATACACTTACCAACTTCACTCTCAAACTCTTGTAACTTTTTGTTTGCTTCAGCAAAAACTGTTTTATGTCCCACATCCCAAAGATGCTCCTTTCTGTGTTCTTGAATTCTTTCTTTTACCTTTGTAGGATACAAACTGAATGGGTAGAGAACTCCAACCCTCCATTCTCCAGTTGGATTTTTCCATGACTCTTGTATCTTGAATAAAAAATATTGAACTCAATTGTTAACATTAATTTTAAAATTCGGTAATACAAGTAATTTTAATAATTTATAATAAATTATATAAAACGATAAATTAGAAAATTAAGACACGTGTCAGGATTATTATTACTTTCAGGACCATAGCAACAACAAAATCGAACAGCTGTGAATGACGTTTAGCAAGTCATTGACATTGCACAAAAATCCCAATATATCTTTGAATATGTAAAAAATGGTATTATTTGTAGACAATTACCAAGCCCTTACCTTTAACTTGCGACCGGTTATACCGGTGATACAACCATCAACCACCTTCCGTATCACGGCGCTTGTGTCCACATCGCCACAACCAGTACAATCAAACCTCTCTATTACCTTTGTTTTTCCTGTACTCGTAATCTAGAAATATTATTCAGTCATGAAATTACAAAACAATTCAATAATAATAATTCAAACAAAATCATGACAAATCATATTTTTTTACCGTAAGACCCGACGCTGCAGGATCAACACCAGAGTCAAAAATTGCAATAACTGTGTCTTTCCCATCGTAATTAGGATATTTGTTCAAGAAAGAAACTATTCCCGTTTCCTTTTTTGGCAATAAACCCCAGACGGGAAAATCACAATCGATCGGTACGTCTGCCATCTTTGCTGACCGGATACCTATTCCACAGATTAAATATACGAAATGTTATGTTTGTAGTTTTGTCACTAGAAAATTTTCCTTGACAATGCCTAAGTAATCTGTGTAAATGTTAGGTGGCTATAATACAAATATTTAATAAAAAAAGGGTCCGTGTACTTATGTACGCGCGTAAGAAGTTATACTTCTTTGGCAATATTAAAAATAGTTTGGCTTTGTTCCACCTCCAGTTTTTGATGTTTCACAGCGATATGATGAAAACTCTTTTTTTGTATTCAATTTAGTGCAGTTACACTGATTCATCAATTGTTTTTTGTCTCTTTTCCTTATATTTGCTAGATAAAATCAGAAAAATTACATGTTTTGATTTGGTTAATTTTTTAATCGAAACATTACTCGATAATAATAATAATACATACGGATAGTTACCTTCAATTGTATTGAAGCACTTAGGAAGGTTGATGAGCACAGTTTTTTCACAAATATTAATTAGTATTGGTTTAAATATTCAATTTAAATCACTTCTGATTATAATTCAAAAAGCATCGCTAAATTTCTTTGAAAAAATAATTAAAACTCCTTTATTTGTTTAAAAGGTAAATGACAAATCGTCGCTTAGCTAACAATACCGCACAAGTCATATTTTAGCCAAATGACGTTTTTTACACCATTCGATAGATTACTTTCCTGCGCGTCTAATGAGCTCTCGCTAGAGGTAATATCGTCCAATAAGAGCGCGTTATTCAAAAACTAGTAACACAACACAACTCATTGGCTGCGCTAACACCGCGCAAGTCATCATAACGCCATAGTAATTTGGCCGTGCCACGTCGCACCTTATAAGATCGTTTGTCGTTTTTAAAAAAGCGGATTTTTTGTAACGGACTGGCCCCACTGATGTAGTTTAAAGGTGAGGTAACTTAAATAAAACATAGTATTCATATTTTATCTATTAAAATACGTCATACGATTGCAATTAAAAACATGAATACTTAAGCGGTGTTGGAATGAACAGTTTCGTTGAGTTAGGCGGTTTTCTCTTTGCTTGGTTTCGATGTCTGAATGACTTACGCTGTACTTCTGTGTTGAGTTTCTGACTGCTGCGGTATTCATCGATATAATTAGCGATTTTTACGCAGTTTTTTTAATGATTACTATATCGTAATTATATTATATTTTACTTCAGAACACGAAAATGGACAAAATGGTCGATAATGATACCACGCCTGATGACTTTTCAAGAGTTGACGCTCAATGTAAAAGTTATTACTTTGCGTGACTTACAAAAGAGACATAGAGAAAAAATGTTATTAAATACATTGGGTATTAAAGAATGGTTTGTCCGATACTGGTTGATAACGACAGATTGTGCTATGCCACCGCCTTCTGAGATTTCTCGGAATGTAGATTGCTCCAAAAAGAACTCTGATGGTCACGAGCGTCTACAGCAATTTTTAGATAGCCTGCCGAAGATGCCATCGTCTACTGTCGAGCAAACTCATCCAGACAATACCTAGAACCAGTATTTCATACCATGGCACAATTATACAAAGAATACGTCAGTAAATGCGAATCAGATTCCTTAAAATGTCTTAGTCGTAGGGTTTTTGACAATGTATTCTTAAAACAGAATCTTAGTCATTTTCATCCCAAAAAAGATCAATGCGATGTATGCTGTGGTCATAAAGTTGGAAATATAATCGATACTGAAATTGCAATACATCGCGATAGGAAAGACAAAGCTAGAAAAGAAAAAGACACTGACAAAAAATTGGCAATAGAAGGAAAAACGTCTCATGTATTTACGCAAGATGTTCAATCAGTAAAATTAGCTCCCTACCTTCAGGCTAGTGCCATATACTACTAAACTTTGACGAACCTTTGCAGCCGTTGCCTCAGCGTCCAATGAAAATTACCAATGTAAAACCTTTAGAAGAGCTGCCGAAATTATTTTCTGAAAGACTGCCTATTTCCCAAAGAAAATATAAGGATCTCCAAGATTTAAAGGCAGTGATACCTTCGAACTGCCACGCATATTATGATGAGTTACCTTATAAAAATTAAATATTTTTCATTATTAGATCCATAAACATTTTGTATTATTTTTAGAAGTAGGTTAAGTATTCGAAGTGTTTTTATTGTCTTGTATTGTTTGTGTTAAATGTACCATTTTTATTAAAGTTTTTGAGAGTTTAGAATTATTAGAAGTCATGGAAAAAAATTACCTAAATTACAAAGCAAACCACCTCTGGTTTCCATTGTAACTTAGATAATTTTATTGATCTCAGTAGGTAAGTAGTTGATCTCGTCAAACAGTACAGTCGTAAAAGTCAGTGAGTTCCTATAATATATTATAATATTAGCGAACCCGGCAAGGGTTGTCCTGTTGGAATAAGAAAATAAAACGGCAAAGAAATGTGTTTTTTTTTGATAAAAAGCTAATTTAGCAATCTTTTTTTATTTTATTGAAGTTAATAATTAGTTTTATAAAACTATTTTTGAAAAATGTTTTTATTTCGATAGTTTTTCATAGAAAGATTTTCTATGAAAGACTTATAGAGCTTAAAAATAAAAGGTAAAAACACCGCGTAAGTCTTTATTTTGTTAAAGTAAAACTGCTCAAGTCTTGCAATTACCTAATAAGACGATATTTCTTTTATTTGTTTTTATAGTTATCATGCTTAACTAAATACAATATATTAAAAATTTTATCATGCATGTATTGTACAAAATGTTAAAGTAATACAGTTTTTTGTCTCTCCTGAAAACTAAGCAAATCTGACTTATGCGGTATTGTTAGCTAAGCGACGAAATGTCATTATGGTCATTCAAAATTGTTGGCATACGAACTTCACGCATATTCTATTTCTTTTTACTTGTAGATTGTCTTATTCCTATCTCGCTCGCGCACGCTATAATCACACTCCTAATTTTGTGTCACGGGTGCGCGTGCATTGTAAAATTTCACTCTCATAAATTTTTCATAACGCGCCTAAAGAAGTATAACTTCAAAAAATTCGGAATTTTGAATGGCCTACACTACTCTGCCCTACTCAGAATACAACAATTTAGATTTTATTTTGAATACCATTTTTATAAATCTCACATATTCTGTGTGAGAACTGGGTAGAACTTATAGTAGTGCGTGTATCATTAAAATTCAATGGTATTTATTTTAGTCATTAACTTCCTTACATTAACATGTGCCAAAATTCCCAACGAGATGTCATGAAATTTTTTATTATTTAAATAATAAAAATGCAATAGAATCAGCGAGACATAATGTCTTTGTCCCGCTCTCTCCATATAGTATATACCAATAATTTTATTAAGAAAAACCTTTATAAATGTTTGCATTTACTATCCAAGAATTTGCACTACACTTAACATTTAATAGCAACTACCGTATTTAATTCACTTTGGAAATAAAAAAAACTTCCTATGTAGATTTCCAAGTAGGTACAGTTGACCAAATTTTTATATATTTGTGCTGGCTGCATAGAAATAAAAAAAATCTGTGTCATTAGGAATTTCATCTTTCAAATAAGAAAATCAATCAGTTTCTTTTGAAATTGTTGAATATTTAAGATTATCTCCATAGGCCATAATGTGGTTTAACATTCTACCTGCTTACGTGATTATTACAGCAGGCATGGGCCTACCTGGATTAGGTCTCTGGTGGCTACATTACTTAACTCTCGGAAATGTAAAGTATTACTGTTCGATTACACTATTTCAAGGAATTATATATCAATAGATTTTTAGTTTATTGTTATTATTTATTGCATTTAACCAGAAATATCTAAAATATCCGCCTTCTTTCATTTTTCTTTATTTCAACCTTTACAAAATACCAAGTACTTAACAAAGTACCTAAAATAAGAATTTCTCCTATTTTACAAAACAATAAAGGTAAAAAGTCACATAAAAGATTTATTTCTAATAAATAAAAGGGTAGCACTTATAGAAGCGAATGTATACATGTGCTAACGTCGTTCAGCGTTCTTTTTTGTGACGACTATAGTTATTAGTTATAGCACAGATTAATAATAAAATCATTTCGTTCGTTAAGTATCAAGTTAATTACTGCCTAACTATAGTGACGTAACAATATTATTGTTTACTTAACAAAAAAGTGTAATCCCACAACTTCTTGCTTTAAACATTTAATAAAGTAAACTAGATTTTTTAATTTAATAACTTGATAGCTCTAGTTCTGTCTTTAAAAAATATATATTTTGTACTTACATGAATTTCCATCTTCTATAAAAAAATCTTCAATTTTTTTATTACTTCTTACGTGCTGACACGATACTGGTAACACCCAATTTGTTGTCAGTTTTTTTTTCTGTATGACTGTAAAATTATTTTTGGAATTGAAGTGAACTCTTTTAATTATGTGGTACGAAATTCTTCCCAGTTTTTTCATAATAACAGCTGGTCTTGGACTCCCAGGATGGGGGCTTTACCATCTTCACAATTTAACTTTAGGCAATGTAAGTGCCCTGTAACTTTTGACTTATACACTGAAAATTGAAAATCTTTGGTTATATCATCACTTGTCTTTTAACAGATAATAAATACTTTTTACAGTTTAATAATTGATTATGGCCTCTTACAATTCTACTTTCTCTTAATAAGTTTACTTGAGTGTATTGCTTAGGCTTTAATATTATAATGTAAGCTGCAATTTAGGTACTGGAGGCCAAGGCCGAATAAGCTGTAAGACCATAATGATGTGATAATAATAAAACAACATTCTGTTTTATTTTCAGCATTATCGACGCGGTCTCCACACTTTTTGGGAAAGAAAACAGTACCATAGGGATACAAGACTAACAGGAAACCCATATGTAGTTAATGTAAGATTATAAAACAGTTAATTATACTTTATTTCTCTGGATTTATACCAATGTATGATCATTTGTAATTTAATGTAGGAAAATTATACATGCAGAATAAAATAACAACCATAGTCAACATGTCACATGGGCATGTTGCCG